CATTTTCAGAGAATAGAAATATAGTGGATTTTTCTATGTCAATCTTGTGTCCTGCTAACCTTGCTGAACTTGTTTATTAGCTCCTATAGGTTTTCCTGTGTGTGTGTGTTTGTGTGTGTATTCTGTAAGATTTTCTCTATACAAGACCATGTTATTGGCAAAGAGATTTACTTCTTCCTTTCTATTTATTTATTTATTGAAGTATAGTTGATTTACAATGTTGTATTAGTTTCAGGTGTACAGCAAAGTGATATATAGATATAGATATAGGTATATATATATATATTCTTTTTCAGATTCTTTTCCCATATAAGTTATTACAAAATATTACTATAGTTTCCTGTACTATACAGTAGGTCCTTGTTGTGTATTTTATATACAGTGGTGTGCATCAGTGAATCCCAAACTCATAATTAATCCTCCCTCCTCCACCCTTTGGTAACCATAAGTTTGTTTTCTATGGCTGTGAGTTTTTAAAATAAGTTCATTTGTATCATTTTTTTTAGATTCCACATATAAGTGATATCATATGGCATTTGTCTTTCTCTTTCTGACTTACTTCACTTGGCATGATAATCTCTATGTCCATACATGTTGCTGCAAATGGCATTATTTCATTCTTTTTTATGGCTGAATAATATTCCACTGTATATATATACCACGTCTTCTTTATCCATTCATCTGTTGATGGACGTTTAAGTTGTCCATGTCCTGGCTATTGTAAATAGTGCTGCTATGAACATTGGGGTACATGTATCTCTTCCAATTAAAGTTTTCATCTTTTCCAGATATATGCCCAGGAGTGGGATTGCTGGATCATATGGTAACTTTATTTTCAGTTTTTTAAAGAGCCTCCATACTGTTCTCTATAGTGGCTGCACCAATTTATGTTCCCACAGTGTAGGAGGGTTCCTTTTTCTCCACACCCTCTCCAGCATTTATAATTTGTAGACTTTTTGATGATGGCCATTCTAACCTGTGAGAGGTGATACCTCACTGTAGTTTTGGTTTGCATTTCTCTAATAATTAGAGATATTGAGCACCTTTTCATGTGCCTTTTGGCCATCTGTATGTCTTCTTTGGAGAAATGTCTATTTAGCTCTTCTGCCCATTTTTTTTAATTGGGTTTTTTGTTTTTTTGATATTGAGCTATATGAGCTGTTTGTATATTTTGGAAATTAAACCCTTGTCAGTCACATCATTTGCAAATACTTTTTCCCAATCTGTAGGTTGTCTTTTCGTTTTGTTTATGGTTTCATTTGCTGTGCAAAAGATTTTAAGTTTAATTAGGTACCATTTGCTTATTTTTGCTTTTATTTCCATTACTGTAGGAGACCCATCCAAAAAATTATTGCTGTGATTTATGACAAAGAGCATTCTGCCTATGTTTTCCTCTAGGGATTTTATGGTATCTGGTGTTACATTTAGGTCTTTAATCCATTTTGAGTTTATTTTTATATATGGTATTAGAGGATGTTCTAATTTCATTCTTTTACATGTAGCTGTCCAGTTTTCCCAGCACCACTTATTGAAGAGACTGTCTTTCCTCCATTGTATATTCTTTCCTCCTCTGTAGTAGATTAATAGACCATAAGTGCATGGGTTTATTTCTGGGCTTGCTATCCTATTCCATTGGTCTACATGTCTGTTTTTGTGCCAGTACCATACTGTTTGGATTACTGTAGCTTTGTAGTATAGTCTGAAGTCAGGGAACATGATTCCTCCAGCTCTGTTCTTCTTTCCCAAGATCGTTTTGGCTATTTGGGGTCTTTTGTGTTTACATACAAATTTTAAAATTATTTGTTCTAGTTCTGTGAATAATGCCATTGGTAATTTGATAGATATTGCATTGAATCTGTAGACTGCCTTGGTTAGTATGCTCATGTTAAATAATATTAATTCTTTTGATCCAAGAACATGGGATATCTTTCCATCTGTTGTGTTGTCTTCAATTTCTTTCATCGGTGTCTCATAATTTTTGGTAGGTTTATTTCTAGGCATTTTTTTCTTTTTGATGTGGTGGTAATGGGATTGTTTCCTTAATTTCTCTTTCTGATAGTTTATTTAGTGTATAGAAATGCAACAGATTTCTTTATTTTAATTTTTATCTTACATCTTTACCAAATTCATTGATGAGCTCTAGTAGTTTTCTGGTGGTGTTTTTAGGATTTTATATGTATAGTATCATGTCATCTGCAAACAGTGACAGTTTTATTTCTTCCTTTTGAATTTGGATTCCTTTTATTTCTTTATCTTCTCTGATTTCTGTGCCTAGGATTTCCAAACCTATGTTGAATAAAAGTGGCAAGAGTGGGCATACTTATCTTGTTCCTGATCTTAGAAGGAATGCTTTCAGCTTTTCACCATTGAGTATGATGTTGTGTGTAGCTGTGGGTTTGTCATATACAGCCTTTATTATGTTGAGGTATTACTTCTTCCTTTCTAATCTGGATGCTTTTAAGTTATTTTTCTTGTCTATTGCCTTGACTCAAACTTCCAGTGCAGTATTGAAAGAAAGTCGTGAGAAACAGACATCCTTCTTTTGTTCTTGATCTTAGGTGGTGGTGGTGGGGGGTTCAGTCTTTTACCATTAAATACGTTTTCAGCTATGGGTTTTTTGTAGATGTCCTTTATCAGGTTGAGGAAATTCGTTTCTACGTTTGTTGAGTGTTTTTATCATTAAAATGTGTTGGATTTTGTCAAATGATTTTTCTGCATTTATTGGGATGATTGTGTGGTTTTGTCCTTTATACAATGCGTTATTCTTAGACCCGTGGTTACTTAATTGGTTTACAGACAGAGGAGATATGTGATCATGTGCACTTGGTTGATAGGAGGAGAAACAAAGTCATTAATTTTCCCTCTTATAATATGAATAATATTTAAGTTAGTCATACAATATGAAAAGCTGTTGTATTCAGATGTGAAGCTGTTTCTATTCTACATTAGTTAGTATATATTGCCTCAATGAATAGGTTGAAGTTTCTTCTGGGTCTTGCACTTCCAAAATCTCTTTTAAAAAGAAACTATATAGGATCTTAAAACTAAGTGATAAAACAAACCTTTACTCAGGCTGAGAAATTATTAAAATTAAAGGCTAGCAAGAGGGAGAGTAGGATTTCCTTTCTTTCTGGTTGTGCAGTGTATGAAAAAAGAAGACTGACAAAGTTCAAATGAAGAACTGTTTAAAAGAAATTCATCATTCCAATAATTATCTTCTCAGTGATAAGCTACCACCTGAAGTTGGTCTATAGTTTAACTCCTAACAGCTGACCAAGCATTGCAGACTCTTCAGCACAATTTTTAATACGGCTGTAGAGTGAGTCACTCAGGACTTTTTGTTTTGTCTTTGATGCCAACAAGGAAGATGGCTATGTAGCATACCATACACATTTTTTTTCATATTTATGTTCATGTTGAAGAGGAAGAGAATTGGAAGCTGTTCCTATGGAGTGAACTCTGGAGGAAACTTGGGACAAAGGATTGTTCTTAGGCCCTATCTGGTCCTCAGCCCCTTTAGCTGTCCTCTCTTTGCATTTAGTGCAGTTGGGAATAAATTTTCAGACCCAGCACATTTTGCTTTTGTTCTATTGGTTACTGAAAGAGGTATGTTGAAATCTCCAATTATGATTGTGCCTCTCACTTTTTGTTCAACTTTTGCTTTATGTATTTTGAAACTATTTGCATTCTAATATAGGATGTCTATATCTTTCTGTTGAATTGTCACTTTTATTAATATAAAATGTCCCTTTTATTTATTTATTTATTTATTTATTTATTTATTTGTATCTATCCTGCTTAGGATTTGCAGAACTTACTGAATCTATCAATTGATGTCTTTCATCAGGTTTCGAAAATTCTTGGGAATTATTATTTTTTAAATATTGTTTCTGTCCCATTCTGTGTCTACTCTCATTCTAAGACTACAGTTGCAGGTGTCAGACATTTTGAGTGTGACCTACATGTTTCTAATATAATTTTTTTAATTAAAATTTTCTCTTTAGATAATTCAGATAATTTCTTTGATCTGACTCAAATTCACTAATTCTGTAGGATGCAAATCTTAGATAGAAGAGAACATAAAAAGCATGGAAGATGAACTGAAACTTTAACCTAGCCTCAAGGTAGAAAACGTTACCGATGCCTACCAATGGTTAATCAAAACAAGAAGCAAATAATTAACTGTTTGTATATTTGATAATAAAACAGATTTTTACATATTCTATTCTCTATTGCTGTATTAATATTTCTAATTCCTTTACCCCTCGTGCAACCCCATTCAGGGATTCAGTTGAAGAACCCATGCAAGTGTTACTAGAATGGGAGTACATTTCTCCCTCATCCCTTGTCCCTCGGTGTCTACAGGAGATGGTTCCAGGACCCCTGAGGGTACCAAAATCTGCAGATGCTAAATCCCTTATATGAAATAGTATAGTATTTGCATATAACCTATGCACATCTCCTGTGTATTTTAAATCATCTCTAGATTACTTCTAATACCTAATACTATGTAAATGCTATGTAAATGGTTGCTGGTGTGAGGCAAATTTAAGTTTTGCTTTTTGGAACCTTCTGAAAAGAATCTTTGTGAATATTTTCAATCCATGGTTGGTTGAATCCATGGATGTGGAACCCTCGAATACAGAGGCCCACTGTGCTTGTACACATGTGGAACCTCCTGATCATCACAATATTACCATAGTAGCAGACAGATATTCATACTCAAATTTCCTCTTGAAAAGGATGGTTTCAAAATTGACCTCCCCCAGGGGAACGACTACAGTACTTAACACTGGATTGTTGTTCTCTTCATTTCTCTACCATTTCTTGTCTCTCCCTAGAAATAGTTGGGTAACTGCACAGCTCTTTTCATAAGAAATACATTTTTACTTGATACACATGTTTAATATACTTTAAATGGGGGATATTTCTTTTTATTATTTTAATTGAAATTTGAAAATTGGTTTCAAGATATCATTACCTGCCAATATCTTACACAGAGTACATCTGATTGAAAGAAAAAAAGCCGAGCGAAAAGTAGACCTTTTGGAGAAAAAGTTAGCAGGTGTTAACAGATTCACCCCTTATATGAGTATGAAAGAACAAGAAGACAGTTTCATGATGAAGGTGAGAACAACTTTTGATTGATTTTTGAAGAAACAGGATTTTTTATTACCTTGTGTTACTCCAGATGATAATTGGCAAATGTTGAGTGGTTTATTGGTCTTCTTCTTATGGAGGATAAAAGGAAGCAGTACAGCATGGCAGACTGGAAGAGTTCCTGAGGTATGGAGAAAAAGTGCAAGGCAGATCTGAAGGTCTCTGTGATACTAAAGAAAAGGTTAGAGGGAATGGAGCTTTGAGAGAAATGGGAGGAGGTGGTGGTTAGAGAGTGAAATATTCAAGTTTTAAATTTCTGGTATGGGTTAGTTCCTGCTGCTGACAACATCTGGGTTTTTGGAGTTGGGTATAAGGATTGAATAGGGATGTAGGTGAAAGTCATTGAAACTGAAGCACAGGAGTCACAAAACTAAACTGGTGGATCATCTACATGGACATTGAAATCTAGAATTACGGCATGAGTTGGGTTTAGAAGGAAGAGGTTATCCTGCTCCCTAGTAGATAGCAATTCACAGGATGAATGGAAGTTTTATGGAAGAATGTTGGAGGAGGATGGGAGATGGACTACTGTCAAGGAAGTGGTAAAAGTTTATTTTGAAATCCATGGACCCAAACTGTTTATTATATATTCTGAATGTAAAATAAGGCCCATCATGATCCCCTTACTGTGAGGAGTTCTACTTAAAAAAATTCAGCAACTACTTTCAGAGTTTAAAGTAATTCCAATTTTTAATCACCTCTTCCAAGTAATTCACAGTAACACTTTCCATGTTTTTGACTTCTCTGACTTATCTGTCACATCTCCGAAAACCTCTCCCACACCAGAGTCCATGTAGCTCTGACCTTTTCTTCCACTGCTCTTTTATTCTACCTCTTTTTTCTGGGCTTTTAGTGAGACAAACCCATCATTACTTCAACAACTCTAGCTCCCCTTCTATTTCCCAGTTTCACATGACAAAAAGCCCAGAAACTAAACTTGTTACAGTTTTCAGAATAGAAGGTGGCAAGAGGTGAAAAGAAGACTCGAATTTATAAAGGCAGAATATTCCTGGGAGAAGTCGGGGGAAGGAGAAGTACAAGCATTATCTTTTATTTTTTTCCTGTTTACAGTGGAAGCAGGGTGCTTAAAAGGGAAAGGTTGGGGGAAAGAAATGTGAGTTATTTATGCTTTTACATTATCAAAGCTGTTACTATTAAATGATGTTCTATAATCATAATTAAATCATTATGAAAATATCCATTTCCCTGCCAGCTTTTCACTTAATAGTCATAGCATTCATTGACAATCCTTGCCTGAATCAGTTATTTTTTTAGGAGAAGTAAAATGTTGAGTTTTAAAATTCTATCATTATTCCTACATTTATTAGCTCAAAATATTCTGTAAACAGTTCCTCCATAAACTGGAGCAGTTCGGTCAGCTGCTTCTCTAAGCTAAATTTCCTATGTTCTCAAAATAGTTTCTCTATAACATCATTTTTATTGCCCTCCCCACCTGCCCCCACATAATATTTTAATACCTCTTGATGTTCTAGTTTACCCTTTTGAGTATGTCCTTGTCTCTCTTATGACTCTGTAACTCTTTATTTCTATTGAGAGCCTTTTCTCCTGAAGCTTTGTATTATGACTATACTTTTATTTCAAAAGGAGGGAAGTAGATGTCTCAATATTAAATTCCATATGGGAAGTTTAACATGTGTGTCGGCATATTTAGGACAAAGATGAAGCTATCCTGGTCAAGAACTTTGAGAGAGACAACGTTTTTCACTCTGAAGGACCAAAAGATGGACAGAAAATTTGGGATAAATGTCAACAAGATTTGATCCATAAGGAAAAACAATTACCTGAGTTAGACAGACCTCCGTATTCATTCAGATGGGAAACTAAAACTGTGCCATCCCTCTATCAGAAATTCCTCAGTCAGTTGTCTACTCTTCCCAGCAACAGTGTTGAACCCATACCAGCCACAGAGGAAGGTGTGAAAGGGAGCATTCAGGAGACTGGTGCAAATGAGCAATCTTGGAAGTCCGTAAGTGTATTGACAGATGAGTTACTCTTTCAAATTAGTTTTAAGGTGTGGGTTTTGATGTTAGCTGATTTAGTAAACTCTGTGGCTCTGAGTTTATTTTTATTACTATAGTGATAAAAGGGAAGAGGATGTCCATTATCACAGTAGAGGTAGTATAGTGTGTTTGTTAAGAGCTGAGAGGACTGGTATGAATCCCAGCTCTGCCATTAGCAACTGTGTGCTCTTGGGCAGGTTACTTATGCTCTCTGTGCCTCAGTTTCATTTGTAAATTTTGGCAGGAGTGGGGGTAGGGTTGGGGTAGGTTTAGTTCCTGTCCCACAGAATGGTTGTAAGGATTAAATGGATTAATACATGATAAATGCTTCAGTTCAGTAAGCTCAATGAATGCTAGCTTAAAAATAGTGGTGTGATGAGGATAATGTTTCCATCATGATCAAACACTGGTCAGTTCAGTCAGTGCAGTTAAATAAATTATTAAGTCAGTCATTTGTTTGAATTTACTGGTCAAGTCTATGGAAAGATTGATCCAGCAGGTTTAAGTGGATGTATCTCCTTGTTATGTCCAAATCATTTTAGTAAAATTTCATGACTCTTCACCCTAAAATTCAGATGAAAATAGGTATTGCTTAAATTCAATGTGTTAGTAAAACCTATTACACAGTAGTCTGTTTATTGTATAGTTACAAATTTTTTATGCTCTGCTCTCTTAAAATTCATTATACAGTTTTATTTCTCAGTACTCACTAAAATGTCTTATTTTTATATATCAAATCTTTCTGTTTCTTTTTTAAAAACTAGCTTATACATGTCAAATCTTCTTAAATGTCTTCCCCATTCATCTATTTTAGTAACTTAATGTTCTAAGTAGAACTTGCAAATAGTTTTGAAAAATACAAATCATGGACCATCAGGATGTTTTATCTATTTTTTTTTCCCTGCAGAGAGCTGAAGGCCACCAGCAGGAAGTTCAGATGCTCACTAAGCAATTGGAGAAGCAGTATCATCACTGTGAAGAAACTACTGGAGAATCATCTGACACTGTGGAAAAGTATAAGGAACAAAAAAGACCTTTGAAAAGTCTGAAAGGAAAAATTGCTATTAATGATCTTTTTCCAGGGAGATTAGACTTGGACACGAACAAAGTAAGAATTTCCTGAAGTATAAGGCATTTCTTTGACAATGAAAATGATCATCTTTTATTATACTATCTAATGTTCAAAGCTGTTAATGCTATTTGTACTTTTCTTAGTATTAGGAAAGGGAGGAAAATTTGCTACAAACTTTTGAACATTCTGATTGTATCAAAAAGCCTTTCCTTACTCCATATCTCCCATTTCTCTACTGTACATATTTGATATTTATTGTAAGCATTGTTAACACATTTCTTAATGTACTTTTAAAAGAGGATTAGAGGGAAAGGAGCTCAAAGGAATGACTCTCTAAAGGGGGAATTTCAGGTGTACTGTGTCAGCTAGATATGATGGGCATTGGGAACGGGCTGTTGGTGAAATTCCTCAATAATTACCTTGTAGACAATTTCCTTCTCTATTTTCTGCTTCTCTGCATCTATAAGGAAAAGGTCAATCCTAAAAGTGGAATGGGAATAGGTAGGATGATTTTCAGGAGATTTTGATTCTATTTCACTACCTCTTCACAGAATTGCTTGTCATACCCATACCTATATTATACTATTTCTATAATTACTGTGCCCCAAAGCATAAACTTACTCACTCACTACTCACTCATTTAGTCTCTTATTCCATTCATTCATTCATTGATCCAATATATTTTGATCCCTGAGTTTTTTTTTTAATATAGAACATTAAAAAAAATTTTTTTTTAATTTTATTTTTGGCTGCATTGGGTCTTCGTTGTTGCATGTGGGCTGTCTCTAGTTGTGGCGAGCAGGTCTTCGTTGTGGTGTGCGGGCTTCTCATTGCGGTGTCTTCTCTTGTTGCAGAGCACGGGATCTAGATGCATGGGCTTCAGTAGTTGTGGCACACGGGCTCAATAGTTGTGTCTCGCAGAGTGGAGGCTCTAGAGTGGCCCTAGAGTGGAGGCTCAGTAGTTGTGGCACACAGGCTTAGTTGCTTCGTGGCATGTGGGATCTTCCTGGATCAGGGATCGAACCCGTGTCCCCTGCATTGGCAGGCGGATTCTTAACCACTGCACCACCAGGGAAATCCTGAGCACTTGGTTTTTAAAAACTTCCAGCACCTAGTGAGGTGGTATCGGCAATGTACTCCACAGAGTCCAAAGATGAATCCAGCTTCTACCTCTGCTCTTGAATCTGTAATTGATGATGATTCATTTCCATGCAAATTTTTAAAATACAATATTAAATTTTAAGAATATACAAATAGCGCATGCTTTCCGCAACCCTTGAAAACATGTTAAAAGGTTTGAAGGAAACAATAATAATCTTCTCTAACCCCCTTTCTGCCTATTTCATGTTGGTAACCAATGTGTCTATATCTTTTACAACTATTGCAATGATTATGGAAATATATGAATATATATATGTAGGTGTTGGTATTTTTACAAAACTGGGACTGTACCAGTCAAAATACTCTTCTTACTTGGTAAGAAGTAGGTACCTCATGGTCTTTCCTTAGGTCAAAAGATATAGATTTAACTTATTCCCTTAACAGCTGTACAGTATTCCATACTGTGTATATAACTTATTTATTCAACCAATTCCCTATTAAGAATTATTGATGGTCCTTCTCTTATTTCCACTTTTTATGCCACTACAAATAATGCTGAAATAAGTATGTATATACATATATCTTTCCACACTGGTGCTTCCTCTCCCTATGGGGCTGAGTTCTAAATGTGGAAATATAGGATCACAGTGTATGAGTATTTTCTTTTTAAATTTTTTTCTTTGGCTGCGCTGCACAGCTTGTGGGATTTTAGTTCCCCAACCAGGTATCGAACCCGGAGCCCCAGCAGTGAGAGCTTTGAGTCCTAACCACTGGATCACCAGGGAATATCCTAAGTATTTTAAAGTTTAATAGCCATTGCCAGAACACTACCTTGCAAAAGGCAGTTCGCTTTCCAAATAGCAATACATGAATGTTTCCTCTTCACATCCTAGCCAGCATTGGATGCTGTCATCCTTTTAGAGTGTGTGTTTGTGCGAGTTAGGTTAAAATGGTACAGTTTTTACATTTACCTTACTACTAGTAAGGTTGAGTAACTTTCTTTTTTAATGCTGTTGACCACTTGGATTCCCTTGCCTCCCCATTCCTCACAATTGGACCTCAGATACAGAAGGTTGAGTTAATCAAAGTCCATGGTTTTTAATGCATTAATTTGGGCCATGGAAGGTCTCTCTCTTATTTATTTATTCTTTCCTTGGATCTTGTCCATTGCCTCCCCAAAAGGAAGTCAATCTAATATGTTTAATGTGTATTTCTTTGTTTATATGTGTTTCTTTAAATGTAATTTTTGTGCAAGTATTTTAAATTTGCATAAGTGGTATCGTGTTAAAAATCTCATTCTAGGGTTTCCCTGGTGGCGCAGTGGTTGAGAGTCCACCTGCCGATGCAGGGGACACGGGTTCGTGCCCCGGCCCGGGAAGATCCCACATACCGTGGAGCGGCTGGGCCCGTGAGCCATGGCCGTTGAGCCTGCGCGTCTGGAGCCTGTGCTCCGCAGCGGGAGAGGCCACAACAGTGAGAGACCCACATACCGAAAAAAAAAAAAAAAAAAAAAAAAAAAAAAACTCATTCTATTACTCAGCACTGTATTTTTAAGAGCCACTTAATATTGCTATTTGTTCATCTAATTCATTGCTTCTGTCTACTGCATGGAGTACTACAGTGTTCATACCTGCCATGGTTTTAATTTTTTATTTTTATTTATTTATTTATTTTACCTGTCTCTTCTTCTAGTGGTAAATAGCCTTGTTACCTCTATTTTTATGCTACCACGAACAACATCACTGATAGCATCCTGGTACAAGTCCCCTTTATGGACTCCAGAGAGAATTGCTTAGGGGTGTTAAGTCAGGATTTGAATTGGTGGCTCATAGTGTATACATACACTTAATATGACTAAGTACTGCCAGTCAGCTCTCACAGAACAATAAATCGTCCCACCAGAGATACAGGAGGGTTTTTGAATCTCCACATTCTTGTCATTTCCTGACACTAGCAGCTTCCTAACTTTTGCCATTCCATCAGGTATAAAATGATTGTTAATTTAATTTGCATTTCTCTAATTATTAATGAGTTTCGCATTTCCTTAATGTTTTTCATCTTTTGGTTTTTTAGTTTCTGCCCGTTTGTTTCCTTTACCCATCTTCTTATTTGGGTTCCTGTCTTGTTCTTGTTGATTTCCAGAACGGTACACACATCTTCCTTGCCCTGTTCAGGCTCTAACACTCCATGACAGGTCACCTCTCCATATGTGATCAGGCTCTGAGTCCCTCTGCAGGGCAGCCCTCTTCTGCAGACACTTTTGTCACCTTGCTTGGGTTCTGTAGGCCTGCTATGAGCCTCAGCATTTCCCTTCTCATTCTGTGCAGATGCCTATGGCTTTAGGACTGAATTGTTTAGAAGGGGAAAGAAGGAAAGGAAGAAGAATAGGAGGAAGAAAAATAAGAGCAACTGGTTTATGATTAACCTTTCGAATATTCTGATAAATGCACTCATTTAAACCATAATTTTTCTGTCAAGAACTACTTTTGCTTTGTTCCACAAATATTGACATGTACTGTTTCCCTTATCTTTTATTTTAAATATAGCAATACATTTTTATGTTTCCAAATGTATAGGATTTTTTAAAAATTTGTATTTTATTACAACATGGTAGAAGTATGATATGATCCCTGGGAATTTATTGAGGCTTCCTACATGGCCAGTGATTGGTCTGTTTTGGTAGCTGTGCCATGTGTGCTTATAAAGAATGTGTTCTTTCTCGGTTGGGTATAAAGCACTATAAATAGCTAATGCTCAAGCATATTATTCGTATGGTTCAGATTGTCTGTACCTCTGATTATTTTTGTTTACTTGATTCTGGAAAAGATATGCTACATTCTTCAAGTATAATTTTTGTTTTTGTTTTTAAATTTATTTTTGGCTGCACTGGGTCTTCATAGCTGTGCGTAGGCTTCCTCTAGTTGCGATGAGCAGGGGCTACTCTTCGTTGAGGTGCTCGGGCTTCTTATTGCAGTGGCTTCTCTTGTTTTGAAGCATGAGCTCTAGGCGCTCGGGTTACAGTGGTTGCAGCATGTGAGCTCAGTAGTTGCAGCTCACAGGCTCTAGAGCATGGGCTCAGTAGTTGTGGCACACGGGCTTAGTTGCTCCGCAGCATGTGGGATCTTCCCAGACTAGGGCTCAAACCCATATCCCCTGCATTGGCAGGTAGATTCTTAACAACTGGACCACCAGGGAACTCCTCCAAGTATAATTTTTGATTCATCCATTTGTCTGTGCTGTTCTATCAGTTTTTGTTATATAGATTACTGGAGCATATGCGCTCACGATGATTTTGCTATCTTGTTCTTTTAAGCACTATAAAACATTCTCTTATTTGTCCTTTATAAAATATTGCCTTAAATTCTGTTTTCAGAAATTATGATCACTAATGCAATTTTTGGGGGGTTCATTGTTGCATGATATATCTTTTATTTGGTTTCTTTTACTTGGTCCTAATTTTTTAGACAACCACCAAATTTGACCAACGTGTTTGATTTCTCTTAGTTGCATATTTCTTGAAGCCTCCTCCTGGATTTTTCTCCTAATTTGAGTGTTTCCACAAGAGAGTTTTAAAAAATTGGATCTTTGTGTGGCAAACTTTCTGACACCACGTGTGCCTGATAACACTTTTAGTATGCCCTCATATTTGAATGACAATTTGGCTGGATATAAACTTCTAGGTTCAAAGTTCCTTCATTAAATTCTTTAAAATTATCTCCTTGCATCCTCTGTTACTGTTGAAAAGTCTAACAAAAATGTGATTCTTATTCCTTTGTAGGTGATCTGTTCTTTCTCTCAGGAAACCTTAAAATTTTTCTCATTTGCTTTAATGTTCTTAAATTTCCCTATAATGTGCTTAGGTATATTGTTTTACCTTATCTCTCTTATTTGGCACTCCATGAATTTTTAAATCTAAGTCTTTCATCTGTCAATTT